TCTGTAACAGCGTTTGTTTTGCCGCTGAATTATGCGTCTTGCAGGTGGTTTTCTGAAGGAGCTGCGAGCTCTAGCGCAAAGGAAGCGCGCAATCGAAAATGAGCCAATGTTGGATCGAGAAGCAAAGAGGCGAAAGATTGATGAGCTAAAATTATGCATTCACGGCACCCGCTGCCGCGTTGAGGACCTAGCTCTGAACTTTACGTCTGTTTTATATATCTGTTTGATTTGTCTGACTTTTATAGAATTTTCACCTTAACACAACTTTTCAGTGTAAATCCACCTTCGTCTGTATTTGACTATGAAGAAATGGAATTGGTCGAAGGAGGTGCAGACATGGATGTCACCATGGACAACGTTGAACTTTATGTACAAAAATGTGCTGACTTCTATCTGAATACGGGAATAGTGAATCAGGTAAGTTACCATCTATTCAAACTCAATCCTATGAATATTTTCGACCCTTTAGATGCGCGCATTCCGTGATGGCTTTGATCGCGTTTTCGGTTTGCGAGCACTCCGCTCATATAGCCCTGAAGAAGTGCAGGTAAATCTCTTTTTAGGCACTATCGCCGAATTTTTTTCTTGTACTAAATTAATATTCTTATGGTTCACTTTTCTAGCGTTTACTATCTGGTGAGCAGTGTCCTGAATGGACGCGCGAGGATGTGCTCAATTATACTGAACCAAAGCTTGGATATACAAAAGACTCACCTGGCTTCCTGCGATTTGTTGACGTAATGGTAGAGCTAAATCCTCAGGAACGAAAGAATTTCCTGCAATTTGCTACAGGATGTTCTAGCTTACCTCCAGGTGCCGTAACTTTCGTTCATTTTTTTGTACTTTGTTAGAAAAATTTTGAGTACAGAGCTTGATAACCGTTTTACCATTTCCAGGAGGTCTTGCCAATCTCCATCCACGTTTGACAGTGGTTCGTAAGGTTGAAAGTGGCGATGGAAGCTATCCTTCCGTAAGTATAGCCTAGCCCCTTGAAGGCAGCGGCTCGGCAAAATTTCGTTTTCCAATTTT